CCCCAACCCTGCCTGTCCCCCCAACCCTGCCTGTCCCCCCAACCCTGTCTGTCCCCCCAGCTCTGCCTTCCCTGCCGCATTTCCCCTGCCCGTGGCGCTGCACCGCGCTCCCCCGAGCTGCCTGGCTCGGGCACCTCTCTCCAACTCTCTCCCGGACCCATGATATGCTTGTTCCTTATTAGAGTGATGTCATAAATAATTTAGCTTTGAAAAGGGCTTCTGTCAACGCACAGCCCCTCACTGGCACTGCAGTTCACCCTCCCTGGGCTGCCCCAGCCCTTTCCCTCACACCTGGGTGGCTTTGGAGCAGGACAGGCTCCTTAAGTGCTGTTGTAGATGATGCCTAAAACATTCGTGTATCAGCCCTCAAATGCCTCATTTAGGAAAGTTAATATTTGTAAATTGCTATTCCCTTTCCATTAATGCTAGTAAAAATGAATTTCTCACATCTACCTTTTCCGTTTTCCTCCCTGCAGTCAACAGTTCACAAAGTGAGAAATTCCACTCTTCCTTTTTCAGGACGTTTTTCAGACTGAGCTGGCTATGCATTGACTCACTTGCTGAGAGAGATTACTCTCTGCTTCAGTGATGAATTAGGTTCAGAAGATTTGTAAGTACAAGTTGTAGCTCTCTGGAGTTTGGAAGACTACCTCTGCGTCTGCTTTCCACCTGGCAAGACTTGCATAGTGAGTAAACAACTTCACTTGTGTTGTTTGAAATGAAGATGGATTTTCATTTTAACCAATAAATAGCAAGCCTGGCAGAATGGTGATTAGACCTAGTATGGTTAAGGCAACTGTTTGCTAGATCCTTTTGTTTCCTTCATGAATCCTACGTGCATTATGGCACTGTATGGTGATATTTGAAAAAGACTTAAATTCCACAAGAAGCTGTCCTTAAAGAGGTAAAATGAGTGCTTTCCTCCCTTTACCCCAAAATGTTTGTCTGATGTTCAGAAGAATCTGTTGGTTTTAAAAAAAGGAAGTCACAACCCTTAGAAACCAAATTCAGGTTTCCGAAAGTGTTGATCAAAACGAGTTACTTGACCAAAATTGAGGATCAGTTTGATGTATCAGCCCCCTTTCATTCCAAAATCTTCCGATGATTCTAGGAAAATGAGGAATAATTATAATGATGCTTAAATACACACAAATGTCTAGCTCATGAGGTATCATTAGTGCACTTTATAGAACGTAAACCTTCAGTTTGTTTAAAGATTTTGTTGGCTTCACAATGGCACAATGATTTTTAAGAACAATTTTTTATTATTAAAATTCCATCCATGGCTTTAAGCATGTATGAAATTTGAAAAACATGCTTAAAGCTATTGTTGCTTTGGGCCTTGTAGACAACTGGCTTTTTTATACCTTTTTCGTTGAAACTGTCATTCCCCACTATTGCCTTAGCATTTTGCCCATTGAGTATTTCTGTACTCCTTTATTAGGCAGAGAACCTTTGCCCTTACTTTAAAATATCTCTCAATTTCTTTCTAAAAATTAAAAATCCTATTCTGTTCCTTGAAGAATCTCGTTATATTAGTTGAGTTTTACCAAAAGCATTTATCTTCCCCCGCCCCGGCCTCCGTCCTAGTGTTTCATCGAAGAGTATGCAAACCATATGGCTCAAATATAAATACTGTTAGCCTGGAGTAGAACAATTTCAGACCAATTGATCAGGTTCAACAGCAGTGTGAGAGTAAGATTAAGGACCTGTGTTTTGCTTGTTAATAGTAGCCACTAATCTCAAACTAAGTAGCTTGCATTATACTGTGTTCTTTAATCCTTGTTAAAAGAATGAAGGGCTCTGCTCTGCATTCATTAAAACTTCCATTGTGTGCTGATGTGATGTGCCAACAAAGACTGGGATTTAGAATTAAAAATCTGGTGATAAATGATTTTATCTTTGTGTAGTGGATCATAGTTTCATAGTCTGTAACGGCTGTTATTTCTTCTGGATGAGAAAGGGTGAAAAATGAAAAGTAAATTCAAGAAATGAAAATAAAGAAAGAGGCCCTTCTTTCCTTGTGTATCAGTTTGAGTCTCCATGTGTAGTGAACTGAAACCAGGTCTGAGGAGTTTACTGTATGACCCTTTAAAGTTGCTTGTTGCAGTACTCAGCATCCAACTTCTTTTAGCTCCTTTCTAAATCTGGATCTGTCTACCAGTCAGTCTGAAAAAGGGGATGTGAAACAGTTCTTTCATCTCCTTACAGTGATTTATGGGATGATGGCATACTTGTAATAAGCTAGGGAGAACGATAAGAGGGGGAGAGCAGCTACACAGTTTGATGTCATTCTGGAATATTGCTGGAAATGCAGTAGCCTCCTGCCTCTGGCCGCTTTAGATCACGGGAAGTTTCTGACTGTAAATCTCAGGGAGGTGTCTTACAACAGTAAGTATGTGCTTTCTCAAATTGCAAGAGGTTTGGGGAATAAAACCAAAGAAACAGAACGCTAACGAGATTTCTTTCGGCAGCTCTCTGTGAAATATCTCTCGTCTGTGTGTCTCATTTGTCCATGCGTGGTCAGGTCAGTGACTAAGCAAGGTTGTCTGTCTTGGCTGCAGAGGTTGAACTGAGCTTATTATACACCTAATCTGTCTGTTTTGTAAGCAAAACTGAGGCACAGTCTTAGGACTGCCTCTGCCATTGGTTGTTAGTTAACCTGCTATAATGAGGAATGTCGAAAAGATACCCCACACTGCTATTATTTAGTGGTGTTTTCCATTTGCCTTTGAAAGCACAGTTGACTGCATATGAAGCAACTGAATATAAGCTCCTTCATCTCCTCCCCTGCAGTGGAAACGTTAGCCCTCTCAGCTGTGCTTATCGGTTCTATAGACAAAACTGTAAGAAAAAATTGTAGAACTCATTGTTTTCCAAGGCTCAAAATTAGCCACCAAGATGTCCGTGCTATAAACATTGCGCTGTTCTCATTGAAGGCAAGGGAGGTTTCTACGAGCTGTTTCTACAGGGTCCAGTCTTGCAAAGTTTATACTCTTTGTGGGAAAAAAGCACTGCCCTATCCCATGGTAGGCATCTACTGGCTTGGGATCTAAGTTTGAGTGCTTCTGTAAGATTGTCAGTTTAATCAGAAATGTGAAATAAATCTAGTGAACAAGAAAATGGAGGAAGGAAACCGTGCAGCACTTTCTGAATTTAAAATAAACTTGCCAAGAAAAATCTAGATACATTACCTGATACATGAAAATAGCTGTTATGATAAAAATGTGTAACTTTCCAGTTGGAAAGCCCTCTTCAGTACCAGGCAATAGTTACACTGCTCACATGCTCAAAGGAATATGTTTCACCGCACTTGTGATGAATTGTGAATCTGTTTTTCTTAGGCGTTCAATACAAGCAAGAACAATTCAGTTTCATTTTTCTGGGGAAGTGCGAAGTAACTGAAGAAAATGACTCTGATGATTTTTTTTTTCATGTTTATCGTTGCATCTGCCACTGGTAAGTATAAATCCCATTTCAACAGTAGAACCTTCAAAATATTGGCTGAATATGTGGCATCTTCTTGACAGTTGTTTAGAGTGGGGCAAGTTTTGTATTTTGCAGCTAAGAACAAAATCTTAAAAGTTTTGGCAATTTCAGCCCAGCTCCAGACTTGGGAAATTTGGTCCAAAATACCAAAATTATGAAGTAAAAAGAGCAGAGATGCTACCTGGAGACACCTGATGATGTTGTATGGGAGCATGGCTGTATGAGGAGCCACAGCAAGGAAGAGAACGAATCTGCTTCTTTTTGTGCCATTCAGAATTGTGGTCGCAATAGTTGCTAAACAACAATAATCTCTGAGAACCTTAGGACAAAGAGACCGAAGGCTTATTTTGTTCTTGACTATTAATGCTAGACCATGGTTCCTTTTCTGGTTTTTATGACTTCTGTAAGCAAAGGTACATTTGGAAAATTTGATTGGAAAAGCCGACTTTGAGACTAAATTTTACACACATAATCTCATTCCAAGGCAACTTTTCTAAAGATATCTGAAGTTTTTAAGAAATCTAGCCACATAATGATTTAGTTTTAATTAAGAAGATAAGAAAATGCAAATGTTAATTCATAGGATTTCTGCTTTTATGGCAGCTGACCAGTTCTGAGGATTAGCCATATTTGTCAAGTCAAACCGTATGTAAGAATTTCTCCTTTCCCCTTCCGTTTGTGGCAGCTGCTTTACTGGAGAGTGAGGCCAGATTCTGCCATTTGTGCCCATTTGATTCTGACGCTGTTGGACCCATGTGAAAGAATCTTAGGGAAATGTCCTTTTTTTACCGTCCTTTGCCTTCTGGTTTTGCTTGGGTGAGGTTGAATAAAGACTTGGAAAACTGAGTTCTTAGACTGAAATAAATATTGGTGGAACGAATAAATGCTGCCAAACCACTTGGCTGAAGGAAAGCCACTTTAAAAAAGACCAGTGGCACAGCAAATCTCTTTAAAGTCAAGCTAATGTTGTTTTCTGAAAGAAGTACTTGGCTTCCTAATGTATCTTTCTTCCTCTTTCTCTGAAGAGAAGCTGTGTCCCCTTCGTGCCTCCATTGATGTGCTAGAAGGGGAATATTTTTTCCTTTGTTATCTTGAGTCAATGCAAGAACATTTTCAGGAAGAAGCTTACACAATAAACTGGTACAAAGAAAATGCTGGAAAGCAGCAACTGATAAAGGAAACACACAGAATTGTTTCCCAAATGAATTTTCTGGAGTTTTGGCCAGCTGAACTCAGTGACTCTGGAAATTACTCTGTCACTCACAGGTGGGTACACAAGCCGGGGGGTGAACATCCTGCCTTTGCACTTGTCTATGAAGAAGCTGATTTCTTTGTCTTGCTTTGTATTGCTAGTGGCATCCGTACGAAGGAGGTGCAGGGACCTACATTAACTGTGGTGTCATTTTCCACATCATTTCACAATAACCCTCCAGGCAGACCTATGATATTTACAAAGAGCTATAGGCAGATGCAGCCTTTTAAAGGCTCTGTAAACCTTTTGATAAGGCAGGTAGCATTTCTGCTGGTTCGTGATTAATTACCTAAGCAAAATGAGTGATAGGCAACCCTTCTGTGCACTGCCAAGTAAAAGGAAACATTTGCTTGTCTTCTCCACCAGACTTGTTCCTTCTTACTGCGTTGAGTGGATCTCACACTATGAGGCCTGCTAAGTGGTCTAATTGTAAAGTAATAAACAAAGAGTGGCATAGCTGAACTCCGGTTTCTGTGCAAACCTTTGCATGCTTGGAGCCGTTCAAAGAACAAATGGAATAATTGGATTTGATTTCTTACCGCTGTGGAACATCATGAGTCAAAAGGAGAAATAAGGGTGGGCCTCAATTATTTGGTGGTAATCTTCATTAGACCACCATGGCAGACTAAAGGACTAAATCAAAGGTTTGCTGCATGGAGTTCTTATGACTAACTTGCACCAAAACTATAATTCAACATTTACAATTGAAGCAATAATTAATTTTAAGCAGATTATTTTGCATGTAATGATTTGTGCTGTTCTCCAGGTAATATTTTTAAGGTTCTTGCCTGGTTCGTAAAGGTTATGGGACTGCGGATACTGAAAAATGCTCTCCACATTTCTCCAGTAACATCGCAGACACAAGTTCGATAGTTTACAGTTTTAAGCTAGACTTCAGTTGCTAACTTCCAAGTTAACTTGGAAGCTGAAAACTTCAAGTTAAGTTATATTTTTCCATGCATCATTATTATTATCGTCTTCCTGATACTATTTTAAAAAGTACTGAGTCACGGTATCTGAAATGCTAAATATTATAAATGAAAAGTCTGCTGGTAGAATATTTCTTTTGGGTTTATATGATTTCTTTTCAATTGTAGGGCACACTTTATCCAAACAGTAGGTAAAGCTTGAGAAAAATTTTACTCATGCATGTTAAACCCAATCTTAAGAGAATTGTCTTTAAGGGTGATGAGTATGGTACTTTGGCTACTTTGTTGTGCAAGGTCGTGCAAAAGTGGTGTATTATTGAGTACAGACATTTGTCTGAAGTAGTACAGGTGAAGCCAGCTGCTCGGTTTTGGTGCGTAGGGGTTAACATTAGACAATAGCAGACATAGGCTTGTCTGTTGTCACAGACCTGTACTTTACATATCAAGTCTGAATTTGGCTTTAAATTTTTGCTTTATCGATGGCCTTGATCAGTTGTCTATATGGTCATTTCACTAAATATGGTGCTAAAAAGCTATTAAATCTAACAACTCACTCTACTGCCAGCACCTAACCAGTGGTATAAAATGCAGGCTCTGACTTACTTTGGCCTGGGGAAGGATAGGCAGAGAGCATACCTGCATTGCCAGGCTACTGAAGGAGGTTGTCATAAGGAGTCTGAAATAAAGGACAAAAGAGAGGACAGCTGTGATAACCCCAGCCTTAATTCACGATCCTTGTGGTTTTGTGATTATTTTAAGGACTTGGAGAAATGACAGTAAATCCACAGTAAATTACAAGAACTCTGAATATGCAAAAAAATGTAAGCTTCAAAACTGAAGGAAACAGCCTTATGTATAGAAGAAGGAGATGACAGGAAAAGACCTTAAGTAAAACTATTAGGATGAAGTTTGTTAAAATAAGTATTTGTTGGAAAACAAAAAATGTTTGAGTCCTTTGTGAAATGTCTGGATTTGCTGATTTGCTTAAGCAAGAAGCTCAGAAGAAAGGTTCTGGTTACATCAAAGCATTCATTTGGAATTAAGAGTTTTGATTTTCTGCTTTTTTGTTTCATTTTCTAGGACTATATTATGCTATGGCATTTTAAAACTCAGTTTTGAAAGAAAGCATTTTTATTTTGGAGAAAAAAAGGTTTCTTAATTAAAAGAATATATTTTGACCACTCTGAAACAACTTTTTTCTTTTTTTTTTTTGTGTTTTCAAAATTTCTTTCTGTTAGGCCCATACAGATACTCATTTTTGTGTTAGGATCAGAATGAAGACACATGCCAGAATCTTGCAATCCTCACACGGGAACTCTTTACAGGTCTCACCACTGGAACAATAGACATAAGGGGATTTTTTTCATGGGATTTTAATGGGAACCTGGGCTTAGTTTATATGATGGTTCTCACTATTGGCAAGCATATTAAAGGAGCTACATTTCAGCAAATACAGAAGATTATGTGCAGAAACAGTTTTCAGCAGAGACAGAGGACTTTTTGTAGTCTCTATTGATAGGGAAAAATTGTGGGCTATTGTGGACTACTGAATTGGTTTAAGATTTAATAAGAATGACGATTAGAATGCAATTAGTTTCATTTCAGAGCATTTATAATAGGTTCAAGTTTGGGTTTCGAAAGCAGACATTCTAAGTATATTTTTATTTATCTATTTTCAACTATTTAATTTAGAGATAAGTATTCGTAAGCTATATGGGAAATGATTTTTAGAATGCTTGTAACTGTTTAGGCAGTTTTAGTGAACAAAGTGACAATGAAATATACTGCAAATTTTCGAGAAAAGTAAGACAACACATGTTGACAGATTTTGCAAACTAATTAAATTTAGGGATTTTTTTCCTGATATGTTACAACTGACAATATGCAAGAAGCAAGAGGTGAAAGTGATATAACAGTGTATTTATGGTGTATTATCCACTTATTTTTGACTTAAAGAAGAATCAGAAGTTTTCCAGTTAAAGCAGAAGCATCCTGCTGAGACATAGCATAGATAGCTGAAGTGTACGTATGTGTGTGTTGATGTGTTCACGTGTGTTTGTTAGTATAGTAGACTTAGGTTATAAATTCAGGAATTAATAGACATCACCTGTCCATCTTCAGCAATATTTCTTGAAAATAAAGGATTTCATGTGCACTTGTAGTGGGAGTGGTAAGCAGAAAAACTGTGTCACACATCTTTGGTAGGATTTCTAATTTGTATGTTTTTTCATAGCCTATATCCTGTGGTTATCAAAGAAAAAAACCAGAATACAAAAAAGCAGGTCATCTGGTTTCTCTGTGTTGGTGACCTTGAAACTGAGGGAACATGCAGGTTCCTGAAAAAACTGAAAGTACTGAGATCCGTGATAAACGCATGATACATTTTAAGATCCTAATACTCTTTACTTTTTCAATGTGTTTAGAACAGTTGAAAGCAGTGGGAACACACACATTTAGAATTAATATTGTAGTTTGGAAGGCAGAGTGACAGGTTCTTGCAGTAGATTGAAATATTGAGATAACACTGGCTTGTTGCTGTGAAACAGCTAAGGGATGACTTAGAGTTGGCCATGTATCCAGTAGACGTGGTTTATATTGTCTAAGGGCTTTCACTTCCCTGTATCCTCTCCTGAGTCAAGCTAGTTTTTGTTGTTCCTTCTTGGTGGGTTTGGCAGAGGGAGTTGAATGGCTGTTAAGCCAGAAATGGTTCTGTTCCCCACAAATTATTACTGAAGAATCTCAGCAAGTGAAAACCAGGATAGAAATATAACAGCTCAGACACTAGCAGTTTAAACAATACAACTCAATGCATTTTTTTGTTGAAAATCATGTATATGGCAGACAACTAGAAATTATGTAAGCCAAATTCATCTTAGTTTGCATAGGTATGGTTTTGTCACCTTCCAGGGAGCTGCTTCTTGCCAGATTTTGGCTCATCAGGTAGAACATCTTGATCTACTTGGGGTGAAATCCTCGTATTTGTTGAAGTCGTTTCACCAAATACGATCACAGAAGAAAACCTCTGTGGAGTCGCAGTGCTGAGGAGAACCTGTGCCTTTATTGATCCTTTTCTTTCATCTGCTGAATCTAGATAGTAAAATCATATGTATTTTATGGCTGGATCCACAATTGCCTCTCCAGCAGTATTCAGATACTAGTGTGATGCCTAAAGAAACACACAGACTTGGTGGAATTAACTGGAACTAATGTTTATGTCTACACCTAAACTTATCTTAGGTACCTTTACTGTCAGGGAGAGAGAGGGGCCTTTCTGGGGCACAGATTATCTTGTCCTAAACCAAACATATAAAATAGGTCACCTAAACTGTAGTCTAAAAGAGTGACTATTGACTGTGGTCCCACTGCTGACTGTGATTTAAATGTGTAAATGTGATGTTGAAGAATAGGTGAGAAGGGCTCCACCCACTGTGAATACCCATGCAAGTACATCTCTGATGGAAAAGTTTTGATAAGGTTTTTCCTGTTTATGACACCATAGTTAACTGATTGAGAGACCAAACCACTATGTTTTCATTTAGATTGCAATTATGAGTAATGAATATCTCAAGTGAGTAAGAAGAACAAGGAGAACCTGTGTAGGCTGAAAAAGGGCTACAATGTGAAGAGGGTGAGCAAAATACATAAATATATCTGTTCGGGGAGCTTAAAGAGGGAAAAAAACCCCAAACCAAAACTTGGTCTAAATTCATCATATCATTGGTGTCCTAACAGTTCTTCTGAATCTTGTGACAATTAAAAGGCAATGTTAGTCAAGAATGGTGTTTAAGGTGATACACTCGTCAGGCTTGCTTCTCCATTTCAACTGCTTTGTCCCCTTAGCCCTTCTCATCGAAATGATTCTTGACTAGTTTCAGTTCTCATGGGAACGATTCCTTTTTCTTTTCTTGGAGACAGAAAGATTCAAACATATTTATGAAGATATGACTGACACTGGAGGGAAGTGCTCTGTGATTGCTGCTTTTGCTTTGTCAGACCCTACCTGTTCAGTAAAAAATGAGAGCTTTGTGCACTAATTGCGAAGTCTCACCCATTAACTTACAGCACCATACGACTTTCTCTTAAGCCCTAACTTAAGCCAAAAGTCCTCCAGCTTCTTCTCCCTTGGTAGTCATGTATTTGGACATATCCAGCAATGAAATAACTCACAACTATAATCTGATTCTTTAGAGGAATATGTGGATAGAATGCAGTAGATATCTGAATGACAATGGTCAGCTCCTAGGTATTCAAAAGAGGCATTTTTGGAGCATATTCACCTGATCTTTTATAGATACTGCCTGGGACGTGATGACTCTGCTTTAGAAGTGGTTGTTCCTGGATCTTCCAGTCAACCTGGGGTGGCCAGCTACTGTAGAACTCTGATCAGTGCAGACTGAAAGACAAAGAGATTAACGCTTTCCAAAATGCCTTGTTTTGCAGACATGCTTGAATCCATAAGTGATTTTGTAATTCATGAGACTTGTGTAGTTTAGAAATATTTCCAAAATATCGGTGATTATTTGCACAGTATCAAACAATGAATAATGTTGCTTTATGAACAATAACAGAATTGCCCATCTTATTTTTGACATATTTTACAAATATATTTTTCAGTTACTGCTTTAAACCTTAGCAATGCATAGGAGATTAAACCTGCAAAATCACTAGCTGATTCAAGGTCCTAAAACTTTTATTCTCACTTGTAACTATGCATGGTGCCACAGATTGTTGCATCCTTGTTCTGGTCGATATAGCATATATTGTCATATTTCATAGATATAATTGTATTGTCAAATGTTTTGTGATAGATGATTTAGTTTAGATAACCTCTTTTGTTATGGGAAATAACACATATTTGGGGGTGGAAAAGTAATAAGGGAGAATATAAATAATTAGGTCACTGTAGATGTACTTTTTACCTAAAACAGATGTGTTAGAGAATTTATTTGTTGTGCAACTCACTAAGCTACGTTCCTTTAAAAAGCTCCTAAAACTGATTTTGCTAATTTTTTTTTCATAGCAATGGAAAACAAAATTTCACAATTCAAAAGTGGACCTTGAATGTACTTGAAAGAAATAAAAGCAGCTGTTTCAACAAAAATCATTTAACTACAGAAATTAAAAATGCTGGAACTGGTCATTCACTGAAATGCAGTGATTTGTCTGTCAATGAAAATGACAGCATAACATGGTACAAGGTAATTACTGAAACAGTGTCACTCAAATCATTGGCTATAGAACCAAAACATCTGATTGCAGGAAAAATTAATTACAAACAAATTTTTAGAAGCATCTACAAACCTTGTAAAGCTTTAATTTCTCAGGTAATTAGGGAAAAAAACTTTAGACGGATGTACAAAAGAAAGTTTTTCTCTGCTCTCAGATTTGTTAGAAAAATCAGAAATTATTAGTAAACTGGTAGTTTGGAATGGTAAAAGATCTGATGTGCCTGTGTGTTTGCTGATTTAGCCAGCAGCTGGTTTAGCCAGCTGCTACTCTGCTGATACAGATATTATCCTGACACTAAAGGAGGTGCCAAGATATTTGTTTTACAGTTGGCACGTGCTTGTAAAGTGATTGCAAACTTTTCAATTTTGCCGTTTCTGAACACTTTTTACAAAATATGTATCACATCCAGTTCTGTTTGTTTTAGGCAAATCATTGGTCTTCTCTTTACCAGCGTTTGTCAGAGCATAGATGATAGTTGTGTAAGCACCTGTAACTGTTGGGTGTTGTGCTCAACTATTGGATGAAGCACTCTGAATAGGTTTCTTCCACCCTGTGCCTATGCATCGCCTTGACCAGTGCTCCTTATTCCTCTCAGGTGTCCTGGCTGGAGTAACAGACCCTGTTCACTCCGTGTTGAATCAGTTTCAGGAAAGGAATTTGACAGCTTAAGTACGGGCATCTGGATTCTGCCTGGCAGAATGAGCCACAGCCCTGCTTCCCTGTCCTTTGGGGCATGGGAGGATAGGACCATTGATGGATAGGGCCATAGGTGGATATGTTTTCCTTGGTAAAGGACCACACCCCAGACTGACCTCTCTCATGGCTAAGCTGAGTGTACTGATACCTAGTATTTTAATGCCTAATACTGTGGAAGACAGATGAAGCAGCCATCCTTGCATCTAAATATCCTTTGGCGCTTGATTGGGTGAAAATTTTCAAAGCCTTCCTGTCACACCCTAAGCTGAGATAGATAAAACAGGGATGGTCACACATGCCTTTTGTATAAGAGCCTGGTAGTAAGCATATGCACCCAGGAAATGTCCATTCCCTGGACAATTTCCGGCAGTGATCATTTCCCTTCTTGATCTAAGGTAATTCAGACCAGAAACAAATATTGCTGCGTTTTCGTAGGACATTTCACTTAGCATGTGCTATGAATTTTAAAAAAAAAAACAAACCAGAGTTTGTTTTGGAGGATAGAGAGGGTAAACTAATGTGAGTCCAACTCTTGTCACCCTCTGAGATTGTCACTTTCCCTATTGTTGAGGCATTTTGCTTTAAAGTGAAAGCTCCTCATAAGTCTAGACAATTTTGGCCACAAGCAGGTGACACCTACAGACCCAAGCCATCATTTTGAAAAAAATAGATGTGTGCATTTAAATTCCCAATACAGTGTTTTTATACTCAGACGCTTACTTGGAATTGCAGTGCTCTCAACTTCTAACAGGTTAAATGTTCAAATGTTTCATTTAAGTGACCATGACTGAAAATTGGGCCCCCACCTCTTTTGGGTCAGATAAATGTCATTGAGATAGTAAAAGAGTGATGGTGACACTTCATTTCAAAAATAATTTTTAACTTTAAGGTTTTGAATGTATGTTTGCTACAGAATAGTATTTTCTGTCTTTATTGATGCAGGACTGTAAGAACTATGAAAATGAAACAGAGCGGGAACTGGATTTTAAAACCTTAACAGTACAGCACTCTGGGATATATACCTGTAAAATTTTAATCAGTCATGAAGGAAAGATGTACCACAGCACAAATACAATTAAGCTGGTAGTAGAAGAAGGTAAGAAAGCTTTCTGAAATTCTGAAGCATGCTTTTTTGTTCTACTTACTATGGAGATTTTTAATTACAGCTCTCATTTGATAAATATATACAGGGGTGATCAAATCTGGTAATCTGAACTATTTCACAATAATTTCAAAAATAAAAAAGCAGCAGAAGAAGTTTATATGACATATTTCCAATTCTGGAAAATTTATTTAGTATGTTTTCCTGGCAGTTTTATTTTTTTCAAAATTGGCTGCTGTAACTAAGTCGTACAAACTTGCTAAGAGTTTTGGGGAAGAGCCTTTCCAACCATTGTAAATTGTGCACTGTATATGTATGCATGTGAAAAAAATTCAACAGGACATGCTGTGCTTTAAACTACTTAATAATGCCAGAGTCCAGATATTGTTCTTTTAATTAAATGGAATCTATGTGATTAGTTTTAGAAATAAAGCAAATGTGTAATTTTTACTGTGGTAGAAGGTAAGTAAGCTATTAATTCAATAGCAATACTTTCTGTTTTAGATGCACCAGAGGCTGTAACTTTGGAGATAGTTGGACGCGACGAAGAAATTGAAACAGAAATAGGTATCAAATTAGTACAAGAATCTTTGTGGTAGCTACTGCATGTATATGCTTTTGTTCCGATCTCTTTATGGTTGATGGTCGGGTTAAGTGTAATCAAACTAAGAATTGTCTGTGCACCCTTCTGGATCTGATCCATCTTCACATCTGGTTATGTTTTGCCTAGTGTATTCCATGATTGATATACAAGTACACTAAATTTACCCTTTTACAGAGGCAGAAGCTGAGGTTGCTGCTATGACCAGCAAGAGAAAGTGGTGGTGATGATAAACCAGCTCTCCATGGCTTTCTTTTGTAGATAGCAAATCCCACGGAGTAACGTGTGAAAGACGTCCGGTTTGTTCAGTGAACAGCAATAATGAGTAATCCCCTTAATACCTGATGCAGTTGAGGATGTTATTCTGCAGGGAAATGAGAAGTGGGAGGGCTGACAGTCCTGGCAGTGTGAGCATGCAGATATGTCATTGCTGCAAAGAATTGGTTGTATTGTCAAAAGCCAAACCCTTGACTGTGCTTCTAGCTGGGAGTAGGTTGATAACACGGTCTGCAGGCTTCATATGGTGTTGGACAGGATCCAGGATTTTATGATTGAGGCTGTAATTAGTTTTTAAAAACAGAAATTTACCTGTCTTTTTTCTTTCCTGTGCGTGAGGGTTTTTCCCATCTGGTTACCCAGTCCTTCCTTTCCAAGTCCGAAAAATCATATTTACCTCCTCTGTTGCTCATACACGTATCTTATTTGCTCAGCCAGGACTTCAGATGCTAATTTTCCTTCCTTCCTACAAAGACCAGTTGGTAGGTCCTTTTTCCAATGGTAGTAACCCAATTCTACGATGCCTTATGTCTCCCAACTTCCCAGTACACCCTTCCTGCACAGTTCTTCCCCCTTACTGTGCTTGTCCCAACCCTTAGAAGGTAGCAGGGTTCAGCACTAAATGATTATGAATCATCTGTCTTCCATCTCTTATCTGCCTTGATAAGATTATTTGATAAGGTCATTGAACTACCTGGTGAGCAGTGAGACAGATGGCATAGTGGAGAGTGAAGGGAATTTTGGATGGCCTTTCAAACCTGTCATTGCTTAGATGGTGTTCTATAATACTTCCCCGAAAATAGCTGTTGTGTATGGTGAAAAGGCTGGAGTTGCAAGGTAGATGATACTAGAAGTTTAGGTCTATGTTTCAGTCTGTGCAGCTGTGATTTGGATTTCTAAGGTCCCATTTTCAGCTGGATCCTGCTTTAATGGTTCTTAAGCAGTTCCGCTGGAAGCATCCACTCTGATAAATCTCGAGAAAGCAGCTTATAACGTGTGCCCTTAGAGAATTCCTGGGCAGGCCTCGCTACTGGAAAGCATTTGTACGTGATGGCCGGAACAAGACCTAACATGCAGCTTTCGTGACTTAATAAAGGGCATTCTGGATGTGTTCCCTGGAAATGATGCTGGCATAGCCTAGAAATGGTGTTATAAAGTTGCAGATACCCTCAGGTCAGGCTTCCCACGACAACGTTTAAAATAAAATGCCTTGCAAATCATCAAATCTCAGACTGCAGGGCTGCAGCCTTCTGCCTTTATTTTCCCAAGTGTACAGTTGTCTTTTTACTTTTGCTCTTCTTTTAATTGACCAGATTCTAAGGGGTGATTCCTGTCACTTCCGATTAGGTACAAAGTAGCTGACTGACTAAGTGACTTATTCACACATTCAGGATTATGCTGATTTCCAGGTGTGGAGCTGGGATGAGAATTTCTTCTGTGAGACTTCAGCTGGGGGTCTGACGGGTTTTGTTTTTTCTTCGAGTAATAGTCCATACTTTAGCCATTATAATCCATTGGTTGTAATTCCCCTTACCAGTTACTTACTTTTACCTGGCCCTGGGGCACTGCCTGCAGCACACAGTTTAGTTCATAGAATCATAGAATATCTCAAGTTGGAAGGGGCCCATGAGGATCATCGAGTCCAACTCCCTTTAGTTCTCTAAAGGCTGAAATGCTCTGGGCCTGTTTAAATTCTTCTGGCTGTGACAGAGTTTATCTGAGAGAAAGCAGTGGATGACTGTCACCCTGCAACAGGGTACAAGAGAGCCCTGGGCATGGTTGCCAAAGCCAGTGCAGGTGGAACATGTATGAAACATCGCGCAGGGGCTGCGATGTCCAGAAGGGAGCACAGCTCGTGGGGTGCGTTGCCTGGAAAGCTGACATTTTACTGCACTCTGAACATGAATGCTACTTCTGACTAGATCTTCTCATGTTATGCTTTGTTTAGGTAAAGAAGAGATACTGAATTGCACAGGTTTCTTGGGTTATTATATGCGAGAAGATGCCAGCCTCTACTGGTTAATCAATCAAACGTTTCCAGAAAAATGCTCGGGTATCCCCGAGAATGAACCTTCAATATGTGAAGAAGAGTTCAAAAAATTACAGTAGGTTTCCTGAAAATATTGCACTTTTGTTTGTATGTGATAATGTCCTGCACTTTGTGGACTGCAAATTTTTTTTCAAAATCTGCCTCTCAGCTGGTTGTAGGTTTCTGTACAGATAGTGTTGCTAACACCATTCCTTGTTGCAGGTTGGGAAACAAGTTCTATGTCACAAGGCTACTACGGATTAAAAAAGTAACAGACGAGGACATGCATCATAATTTCACCTGCATGTTGCAAGCTGATGAAAGAACACAAACAAAAATAGTGAAATTGAAGAAAGGTACGGTATAATCTATGAATCATACTCCTCATACATAATTCTTAATTGTGCCAGCCTTCTCAATCCTGAGGGCAGGGTACTGGTTTCAGAACATCTCTCCTGATATGTCTGTGTGCTTATGAAGGCCCTGGTCCACCTAACGACGCCCCTGGGTGATTCGTCCTGCTCTGAGACAGGGGCAGCAGGAGTTGCTGCTACGTCTGCTAGAGCAGCTGGGTGAGGGCTCCATAGTTGGACCACTGCTGCTGTGGACACAGCTGGGGAGGCTGAGCTATGCGCTGGCTGACAGATCCCTGGGCAGCACTTCGTCAGACCCCATGACAGAGCGTTCCCTGTGCTCTCCTACTCGTCAGATTGGTGGGATCATGGGGGTTAACTACCCAAAGTTTGGTGCAGCCCAGAGTCTGCTGTTCGGATCACTTTGTTTATTAAGCAGCTCTTTATCTAAAATTAAAATTTGAGGTTTTCGTTGGTTTTTGTGGTTGGTTTGTTTTGGTTTTGTTTTTTTTTTCTTTTTTCCTGGAAAGGTCAATCTTTTATATTCCTGATAATGCCTGAAACATTCTGGTCAACGGTTTCTCTCTTGTCAGGGACTTTATCCTTCTAGCTACGGAGAGCTGACCTCTACCATATAATAGTACTTCACACTTATAGTCCAGACAGCCTGGAGATTCATGGCAAGTCGGC